CCCGCTGAGCTTACCCCTCCATTACCATGTCAACTTGAAGTATCAGCATTTGCACATGTCCTGCTCATACTGGACCTTTGGCATGCACATATCAGTCATGTTGGCAAGGAGGCTGTACTTCGACTTAATTGTGTGGCCAGAGGTGTCATGGTGGACTCTACTACTCCTCTTTCACACTGTGAATCCTGCATCATGGCTAAGGACCCTCATCAGCCATTTCACTCATGGGAAACAGTACTTCATCATCTTTCTCAATGACTACACTCACACTCTAGATCTTCAATTCCTGGCAACCAAGGATCAGGCTCTGGATATCTGGCATTCATTGCACACATGCTGGGAGAACCTTTTGGGGTCACGTGTGACGGTGTTTCATTCTGACAATAGGGGGAGTTTCTTAGTGAGGCCTTCACAACAGACCTTGAACAGACCAGAGTCCAGCATCAACACTCTGCCCTGTATGCGCATCAGCAAAATGGAAAAGCAGAGAGGGTGATGCGTATGATCAAAGGTTGTATGTATGCAATGCTGGATTTTGCGCATCTGCCAAGTTGTTTGTGAGGAGAGGCAGCCCTAACAGCCTGCTACCTGTTTAACAGGACGGAATCATGTGTGTTACCCGCAGGAAAGACACCCAATGAAATGTTACATGACACACTGCCAAACTTAAGTCACCCCTGTGTTTTCGGTGCACAATGCTTTGCATGGATCCCAACAGAACTTCAGCAGAAGCTCAGACCTCACTCTAGGGAAGCCATTGTCATGGGTTACTCTCCCAGCATTGAGGCCCAGTGGTGTTGTGACATTGTGATGGAAGCTTTCTTCAACTCCGGTGATGTCATCTTTGATGAATCATTATCTAATCGCTCTATTTCTGACAGCAATGATGATGATGATGATGCACCTCCTCCTACTCCTCACAATGCGACACACCAAGTTTCTATGCTTCCTGCACCTCCTCCCACTCCTCCTCATGTCGCCATGATCCGTCGTTCGAGTTGCATACCTGTACCAACTAAAAAAGGTCAGAAGTTTCAAGAACACATTGCCTCTGACAAGTCTCGCCTTGCTCGACAACATGACCACCATGCTGCCAGAATCAGTGGAATTCCTCCTCCTGGTGGTCACTCTGAAGTGGCGCCACCACCCATTGTACCAGCCCCCACTCCCACTCCCATGCCTGAAGCGCCAGCTGCTCCACTCATCGACCCTGATGCAATTATGCTGGATGACAAGGATGTATGATTACTGCAGGTAATTGCACCTCTGATTGCAGTTGAAGTTGCTTGTCTTTCCATTTGCAGTGACTCATGTCGTAATCCATTGAGTCCCATATATGACCTCAAAATTCCCCCTGCAACTTACAATGAGGCAATGAGACATCTGGACAAGGATCACTGGTTGGTAGCCATGAGGAAAGAGATAAATTTGATGTTGGAGATGTGTGTGTACAAGCTTGTGTCCCTCCCAACTGACCATTGTGCGATTGGGTGCTGCTGGGTCCTTGAATTCAAGGAGGACCTCAAGGGAGGACCGGTCTTCAAAGCTTGCCTGGTTGTGAAGGGCTTTTCGCAGATTCCGGGGGTTGACTTTGGTCACACGTTTGCACCTGTCACTAAGTCCATTGTAGAAGAGGAATGTGTAGTGTAGGAAAATGGGTGGTATGAGATGCACTCAAGTACTAGTCCTCAGTGAGCAAGCTTAATGTTGGCCCAAGGGGATTGCTACTGAGAAGGTTCCTCTAAGTATATATAAGGAGGGAAACACTGAACCGGGTGCTTTGTCAAGCCTGGTAAGGCGCACGGTGATGAGTGAAGTGCAAGCAAGTGAAAGCGACGTGAAGTGCTAATGAGCAATGACGAGTGATGATGCGTGATGATGAGCAATAACACACGCTGAGTGGAGGCAATGTGCGCGTGTGGGTGGTGGAGCAAAGTGACTCTTAATGAGTTGGAAAGCAACTGACAGAGTTTCTAGTAATGTACGACGGCAGGTGCTTGTATTGTACTTAGATACTTAATGTCAGTTGGTAGATATGATGGAGAACTTAGACTTCGAGTCCAACGATGTGTGGGCAGAAGATAATCATTTATACAGTCAGGCACAAGTATATATACTAAGCAGTGTTGAGTGCTGTCAAGTGCTAAAGCAAACCGAGAAGTGGAGTGGATATGTGATAATATGTAATTATAAGGGTCCATGATGAAACATACAGAATACGACCATAAGCATTGGAGATATGTCAGAATAAATAGAAATATGATAGGAATATGCACCGACAAACTGAATGGACATGGAATGGATGGACGGAGGACGAGCAACAGGACCAAGGATGCACGACTGAAGCACTTGTGCACACGAGCAGCTGACAGAGTGCTCAAGTGCGCTGAGGTAAGATATGAGTCGCGCTATAGTTGGAACATGATTGGAACATTGGAAATTTAGATCCTTACAAGTCCACAGAGATATTAGTCTCTACACCACATCCATCAGAGTCCTGGCAGCTCATGCTGCCATGAATGATTGGGAGCTGGACTGCTTCGATGCACATCAAGCTTTCCTGTGGGGGAAGCTGAGGATGCGTACATGCGTCAGCCCCCAAGTTTTGAATTCCTCGGTCCAAAGTTCCAAAAGCTCGTATGTCACCTTCTCTCCTCACTCTATGGGCTGAAACAGGCTGTTGTGGAAGAGGAATTGGTAGTGTAGATAATAGGGTGGTATGAGATGTACTCAAGTAGTCCTCAATGAGTGAGATGTGATTGACCCAAGGGGATTGCTACTGAGAAGGTTCCTCTAAGTTTATATGTGAAGGGAAACACTGGACCATGTGCTTGGCCAAGCCTGGTAAGGCACGCAGTAGAGACTTGTGCCTCTCATTGTGTGATATGGCAGTTTTCACTAGGGAGTACATGGCATGAACTTGTAGCATCACTCTGTGTGCTATCCACAGCTATTACTATATGAGGTGCAGCTTTCCCGCACAATGTGTGCCATGCACACACACTTCCCATGCTTCACGATGTATATGTACGCACGCTTTCCCATGCTTGAGCGCCCTATAGTGCCAGCCATCCAGAAGCATCCATCCACTGTCCACCAAGCCCTCTAGTGCATATATTTCCATTTCCCTTATTTGCATATCATTCCACCTTTATTTTTATCATGGACCCTTACTTACATATATCTTTACACACCTTACTTGGAAGTGCTTTGGCTCCGCATGACAGTGCTTAGGTGCCATACATAAGCGCCAGCAGTACTTACCTTTCACTCACCAACTTACCAACTAGTCTTTGGCTACCCACTTACTACCTAGAAAGTCACAGTAGAAATCTATTCTTTGGCACATCACATCTCACATCTCTTGTTTAGTATCTAATCATCACTTAAGCAAACTCACTCTTACTCTCTCTTGTTTCCATGTACATGTGTGCACTTACCCGTGCTTCATGCAGCACGTGCATGCCTTCATGCCTTGCACGCACCTGCACTTTCTCGCTGAAGGTACAACAATTCAGATGGTGAGTCTGAACAATGTGTTGGGTCTTGCAGAACCTAGCTGCTATTCGACCCTAAAGGGTTTCTGGACCAGACTCAAGGCTCAGAGGAGAGGAAATATCATAGAAAACTACTGAGCACTCAGACTCATACTGGTAACTGGTGAAAAGATTGATTGCTTATGTAAGCTACAAAAGTGCCAACATAAGGTAAGGTAAAAACAGTCTCTACAAGCCCAGCCAGAAATGTATCCTTACATCGCGCTTCACATTGGCCAACCAGTAGCACTTACAGCGCATACCTCTAGATCCTTGCTGCACTCGCTTCCCCTCTAGGGTCGAACACACTTGTTGTCTCAAGTATAGCAGACTAGGCAATGCGTGGCCTTACAACATTTATAGATACAGTCTGGAGCCTCGTTCGCACCTCACTGTATTGTTGTTTCTACAGTGCGAGCGAGAAAAAGTGATGTGAAGCGCTAATGAGCAACAATGAGTGACTTATAACGGAAGTGCACATGCGGGTGATGGAGCAGAGCGACTCTTAATGAGTTGGAAAACAAATTGACAGAGTTTCTAGTAATGTACGGCGGTGGGCGCTCATATTGTACAGTTTAGGCGTGAGTATATATACTAAGTAATGTTAAGCGCTGTCATGCGCTAAAGCAAACCAAGAAGCAAAGCGGATACAAGATAATATGTAATATAAGGGTCCATGACAAAAACATATGGAATATTGCCATAAGTGCCGGAGATATGTCAGAATAAATGGAAATATGATGGGAATACACAATGACGAACCGAACAGACATGGAATGGATGGACAGAGGATGAGCAATGGAACCGAGAATGCGCGACCAAAGCGCTCAAGCATGCTGGGTGAGATATGAGTCACACTATATTAGGAAGTGATTGGGATATTGGGAATTTAGATCCCTGCAAGCCCACAGAGATATTAGTCTCTACACCGTGTACAACTGGTATGAACTTCTCTGTGATGTACTCACTCATTTGGGCTTCCTTCGCTGTGAAGCTGACTACACCATATTCATCTTCGACCATGTCAATAATGAGGGGGTGAGGGTGATCTGTGTGATTGCATGGCATATCGATGACAGTCTCACAGGTTACAACAGCTGGACATTCCTCAATTGCACAAAGGTGCAGATAGCTAAGCACTTTGGCATAATGGACCTGGGAGCAGTCACAAAATATCTTGGTGTGCAATTTGTCCGAGATCATGCAACATGTGAGTTGTGGATGCACCAGGAGGACTATATCACCTACCTCCTGGATGAGCACAGCATGACAGGGTGTAATCCAGTCACTGATCGCTTCTTGGCTTAGTACCAAGTGGCACCCCGACTAGGACCCCGGAAAACTTTTTCAACACTGCGCTCAACAGAGTTCTGCAGCGTCACCGACACCTCAACAGAACTCCAACTGTCAATCAGAATCATTGAAATAGTACTCTGAGACCTCTTAATAAAGTAAAAGATCACTATGCCCCTCTCAAAGGCTCCCAACGAGCCAAGAGGCGCCACCCCAACAACGGCCCATCCTATCCGAACTGGAAGGAAGACGACCACTGATAAACCCCTGCTCACTTTCAGCAAGCACAAGTCAGACCATACAATAGGAATAGGAATCCATACAGACGTGAAAAACCTGGAATCTGCAACAAGACTCCTAGCTACCCACGGCCTGACAATCCCATCCACAGGAATCACCTTTGAAGTACTGGCTGATGCCCTTTTTGAATTTACTCTAACTGCTAATCTTGGAGCGACACACACTGACATTCTCAGAGCCTTTGCCATCACAATAGATGACACCAACCAAACAGCACAAGTATCAACCCTCACGAACAAACTCGCAACCACCCTGAATACCCCAATTGAACTACTAGAAACACGAGTAGAAGAACTGGGAGAATGCCTCACCCAGCACAAGCAGAATCTAGACTGTGCTGTCACCGAGGTGCGCTCTCAATTGCACGACTTTTCCGAGCACATAGGCAAGGTGGTGGAAGACACCATCCGTGCAACAAGGGAACAGGGAGACGCAGCCAAAACAACAGAGAACAGGTCTGAAGGACCTTTGAACTATGCAAACACTGTCAGAAATTCTTGCATGCAGTGAAGCCCAAACAAGGCAAATCCTAATTGACAGATGAACCATGAATGAAACAAGCACCCTTAAAGACCTAACAGAACTCCAACTAGTCGCGAAGGCCACACTAGCACTCGAACTCCTCAAGAAGAACAGCAAAACCATCCCAGAAGGAATGGCATTCCTATCAGCGCACAGACTCCAACACGGCGGCATACTATATGAAGTCGACACCCACCTATCTGCCACCTGGTTCAATGAACCAGCAAACTGAAGCGGATTCCTCACACACTTCGGACACGACCTGATAATCAAAGACCGTACATTCCAAACCCTACTCAAAAACATCCCAGTCACATTCGACCCAAACTCCCCAGTCTGCATCACAGAAATAGAACTTAAGGCAGGTCTCAAGGAGAACAAAATTACTAAAGCCAGATACATCAAACCTATAGCACGAAGAGACCCGGGGCAACGAACAGCCCACACCATATTCACCTTCAAATCCAAAACCACAGCAAACTAAGCCATCAGATTTGGCTTAACAATTGAAGGTAGAAAAGTATTCGGACGCAAACTAATCCAAGAACCCACTCGCTGCCTAAAATGCCACTTGATCGGAAGCAACCACATGGCAGCAGATTGCCCTCAAGAGCTGGACATGTGCAGGACTTGCAGAGCAAATCACAGAACATCAACCTGCGGAGTCGACAATCCCGATCTCTTTTTTTGTGTCAATTGCTAAACTAACGATCATGCAGCCTGGAGCAGAGACTGCCCTACCTTTATCAAGAAGGCAGAAGCAAACCAAAGCCGACAAGAAGACGCCCACTACATCTATTTCCCCACTGATGACCCATTGACGTGGGACACACACCCCAGTGTAGAGAATCATGCCTCTCATGGCGTGATATGGCAGTTTCCACTAGGGAGTATACAGCACAAACTCGCAGCACCACTCTGTGTACTGTCCACAGCTATTCCTATATGAGGCGCAGCTTTCCCGCGCAACGCGCGCCATGCGCACGCCATTCCCGCGCTTGAGCACCCTATAGCGCCAGCCATCCAGATGCATCCATCCACTGTCCTCCAAGTTCTCTAGTGCGTGTATTTCTGTTTCTCTCATTTGTATATTATTCCACCTTATTTTTATCATGGACCCTTACTTATATATATCTCTACATACCTACTCGGTAGCGCTTCGGCTCCGCATTACAGCACTTAGGCGCGCTATATAAGCGCCAGCAGTACATACTACTCCACACACAATTTTTACCACTTACCTTACCTTACTTTACTCCACCCACTATCTGCCTAGAAGAACATAGTAGAAATCCATTTTGTCTATACTTCACATCTCTTTTCCCTTATCTTGCATCATATTATCACTTAAGTCTAACCTCTCTATTGTTTCCGCACATGCGCGCGCGTTCCCGCACCTTCGTGCCTTGCGCGCACCTGCGCTTTCTCGCACTTCACTTCGGTAATGCAGACTAGGCAATGCGCGACCTTACAACATTTTTTAGATACAGTTAGGAGCATCATTTGTTCCTCTCTGTATTGTTGTTTCTACACCGGACAGAACGAAACATGGCAGAACACCGACCAGGACCAAGGCCACTGGTCCCAGCCCCAAGCTCCCACCAAACAACGACAAGATAATGCCCCGCAAGGTTGGAAGAAACCCGAAAGGCGCCCTGAAGCAAACCGTCAACAAAAAAGCTGCAAAAACTCCAACCTGATCCCACTCAACACACAATTGAGACTCCCAGATGCCTGGTCCAACCAACCCTGGCAACCTTGGCCACCAGACCCGCAACCGCAACCTCAAACCTACCCAAACTCCTGTGCTCCAGACCCCACCGCTTCCCTATACCCTGACAGACTCTCCTTCCCCCCTAGCTCCCAATGAACCCCCATGATGAACCCCAAAAGCCTCACTTCAGAATATGGCAGCAAAATTTCCGAAAGTCAGCAAACGCATGGGAACACATGCTATCCAACCTCAACCCAGAAGCCTATGACCTTGCATGCATCCAAGAACCCTACCTCAACCCAGTCAACCTCACCAATGCCTCCAACTTACGTAGATATTGGGACATTATCTACCTGACAAGACACCATGACAACGCCAAACAAACTCAATCCATCCTCCTCATCAACAAGAAAATTTCAAAAAACAACTGGCAAATAATTCCACTCAACACGCCGAACGTCACCGCAATAGAACTAACCGGTGTAGATGAGGAATCTTGACTAGACGTGAAAACACTTAAAACAAAAGGGTGCTCAACAGCAAGACCAGGATACGAGACAATGACTCGACCCAAGGGACAACCACTGAGAGAAGTTCCTTGAAATAGTGTGGAGGGAAACTCTATGAGCTAGGCAGGCGCTAACAGGCGCGAGAAGATAACGCGCGCGAAGGCATGCATACGCGAGGCAAAGGCGCGCGAGATGCGCGCGTGAGCGGGAGGTTCGAGAATGCGTGCGCGCGAAGTGAAGGCGCGCCTTGAGCATTAAGGGAAAGGTCCTATTGAGGAGTGAACACCCAGATGGATGATTGACAGGAGAATAAGATCTTATAACAAGTGAGGAGGTGATCTATACACTTTCCAGTACACAAAGATAAGGGGAAAGTAAGTACCAGAACCAAAGGAAACCCTTCTGTATTTAAGAATGGAGATTGCGCTAAGCAGTGCGCTTCCGAGCACGCTCCCGAACCGAGTAACCATATCAACTCTAATTATAACTAAGTTTAAATAGACTTTCTATATGTAGCGCGGACGTCGGACTGAAGATTTTATTAGTTCAATGGACAAGATAGGAATAACACACCAGCGAATCAGTAAGGACATGGGACGAATGGACGGACAATAGCGCGAAGACCTAGGAGAAGGCGCGTGCGCAGGTAAGGCGCGCCTAAGTGCGCGCGAGTACGGATAAGGCGCGCGCGAGACTGGTCCTTAGGATTAGAGCTGTCGCATATAGGAATGTATGGGTAAAGGCCGGATATTCGGCATTGAGATGCGCGAGTCTCTACATCTCCTGGGGACTTACATTCTGAGTGTCCCCACTCAGTGCTATAGCGCAGGATCTTGGACTTAGAGAGGTGATGATAGACAGGGATCAGGTGATCGCGAGAGTAGGGTCATCCTTTGATGATCGCGAGCATCGATGATGTAATCGGAGGAGATGTTGATAAGAAGATGGACGCGTTCTCGCAATCTCTTGACTTCTTCCTTATCAATTTCTCATCATGCCTACTTTCAATGTTGCTATGTTGAATGCCACTCCTTCCCCTGAGCCTGTTCCAGTGGCGCAAGGGCCTCCTGAGGACGCACCTATGGGTGACGCTAGCGCGGAATCCGATGCTGACCGCCTCCTTGTCGCTTGGGCCTCCATTCTGGTCTCTTTGGAAGGATGTGTGATGTCCGCGCCTGATCTCAAGCCGGAACTCCTCGAGGATCAAGAGATGTGGTTGCGTGAGTGGTATTCAGTGCTGGTGAGTGCACTTACATGTATTTGTCTATTGTGGACTAACATTCCTAGGCCACCTTGAACGGTTGTTCCACGCACGCGGGTGTGTTGGCGTTGGCGCTGGAGATGGATGACAAGAGCGCGGAGTCGTTAAAGCAGGGACAGAAGAGTTGTAAGGAGATTGAGGCGGTTGTGAAGGACTGGAAGGCGAAGGCGATTGCCTCAGTTCCACCGGCGCCTCCCATGCAAGCTGCGCGCACCACTGGCGCGTCCGAAGTCGAGGCGCGCGCCACTGACGCGTCTGGTACTGATGTCAGCAAGAAGGTGCATCTTCTGTTTCCTGTTGGCGCGCCACTCTATTAACATGGCTGGTTGCGCGTCGGGCGCATGTCTGTGGTCAAGGCGCGGCGCTGTGGCGCCTGCATTGCCAAGGACATAGACTGTGGAGGCGCGCCTGGACGCCGGTGCCCTCCTTGTGATGTTTCCAAGCGCGCTTGCACTTTCTGTAAGTCGTGCCTCTTGTCTATTGTTGGCGCGTGCCACTAACTGCTGTGGATTAGCTAAGTGCAACATTACTGATGCGCCTAAGGCGCGCCCGCGCAAACCGATGCCTAAGCGCCCTATTGCTGAGTCTGCAAAGGAGACCGCTTCCTCCATTGCTGTTGAGGATGAAGAAGAATCTGAGGAGTCTGAGATGGATGTGGAGATTGTTGGAGAGCGCTCTGTGGAGGAGAAGGTCGTGCGCGCCGTTGGTCCTTTGGCGTCTGGTTCTGCGCCTAAGGGAAAGGACAAGTTCAAGGATCCAGCGGTGGAGTTGAAAGAGGCGCGCACGGAATCCGCACGTTTGAAGGAGGAAAATGCACACTTGCGCACTTCCACTCTCCAGATGCGCCAGTATGCGCGCGCCCAACAGGCGGACCTCCTCAACTATTCCAACAAGTTTTTCGCTATGTCCAACGCGTGGGCTGAATTGGAGAGGCAGATCAATGACTCCCTTAAGTAGATGCACCTCTCTTTTGTTTTTCTTGTCTCCTAAGCGCCAATGCGCCTGTGTACTCCTTCTGAGCGCAAATGCGCCTGTATAATAATCCCTGTGTTGTCTTGTTCCATGTCCATGTCCATGTCCCCATCTGATTCACTGGGCTTGAGAAATTAAAATTATAAGTATGTAAGTAAGTGACAAGCGCGTGATGAGATCAAGGTAATGCGATGGACTTTACTGAATTTTCTGCGGGGTGCGCACCCATCTTGTCTTCTTCGTGTGCCTTCCATCATCTATGCCTGCCTTGTTGCGCTGCGCGCGCCGAGGTGATGACGCGCGTGCGCTTGAATGAAAGTTAGAAAAAAAAAGTGCGCGGCGCCGTGCGTGCATTAGAAAGTGAAAGTCTAATGAGGTGATTATGCGTGCGCTATACAAATAAGGTAGTGATTAGTATGTACTTGCGGGGTATTAGAGTGTTTCTTGGTGTGTTTGATATATTCTAGAGTCTGTGGGGTTTATGTGCAGGCAATGCGCGTTATATGAACAAATGAGATGAGAGATGTCACCGGACGAAACCCGGGGTAAAACTGAGAGCATGTACTTAATGGAATATTTTTGTGTTCTTCGTATTATCTGATGTTTTTGTTTTTATGTTTTTGAGGAATGCGCGTTCGCGCGAATATGATTGAGTGATGCGCGGGGTGGGGAATATGGTCGTGTGCGCTAATTGTCTTGCGCGCGCTCTGGCTTGTCTTCGTCGGGTTCTACGGTTTCATACGCTTCTAGTTCGTCGATGCTCTCGTCATCTACTC